CAGCAGGCTGCGTGATGCACGCACACACACACACCTCTGACACTTCTAAATACACAACACGCACACACTTCTTTTCATGCGTTCTCAAACACAGACAGTTTGGCTTTATGTCGAAATTGAGGATTAAAAAAAGGGGTTTTCTTTGCCCATAAATTGAGCTCTGTTGTTTTAATCTCAACATGAAACCAGTATTCTGCTATTTGATACTAACAAAATGCTTAATCACATCACAAGGAATAAAAGATCAACTGTGGATTATAGTGCTGAAAACAATAGAGCTGAAATGATACATCAATTATTGCAGTAGTGGATAGTTTGAGTCAGTTTACAAGAAAAAAAAAGGAAAGCATAATTTGTATGTTAAATTTAGGGTTTTTAACTATTCGTCGTATTACAAAATATTCAAAATAAAATCATTAATCAATCGATGAGAAACACCATTGATAGATGATAACACAATTATTTCTACCTGCAGACCTAATAGTTCTTTTTATAATATAATTTTATACATGATATATTCAGGGCATTAACAAAATGAAGCATGACTAATATTCTGTACATAAACACAAAAGTCTATTTGACGCCCTTCAAAATCTAATCTAGTAAATACAAAATACCATCTCCTGAAAAAGAGAGCACGATCATCTCATCAATCAACAGACAATGTAATCTACAGAGCGACGACAACCGTGGGCATCAAGCGCTGCGATTGATCCACTTGTCTCGGGGACAACCTTCCCAGTGTTTCATTCTTCATGCTTGACTTCCCCACCATGGCAACCATCTTGATTCCTACAAACATTACATCATTCTGCTGCTTGTCCTTCACTTCACCCCACACTCAAGAGCTCAAATCGGGGAGGGGGGGTAGTGTGGACATCAAGTCCTCCTTGAAAATAATCCAAAATTTGTGGTATTAATAGATTGCATTTTTGAAACATATTCTATGAGACGTGGTTTAGTGCTACATTTTCACTAATCCTCCTGCCGCCGATGGTGCTTACTGTCCAGGTCACTTCTCCTGAAATAAATCATGCGGGAAAGTCAATAGAGTTGTTCGGATTTATGAGGGTTTGAGTCTTGGTCTCTTCAAATTGATTTGTGGAGGGACACAAGTGCAACCATAAAAGCAGCTCAGAAACACCAGTCATTTCTTCCAATCTTCCTTCCACTGACAGCCAAGGTCTCTGCTGTTTATAATCCCAGCATCCATCCAAGAGGGTATTTTGAACCAACGGTAATAATAAGAATAAAAATAACTAGTAATATCAAATTGAGCAGCGACCATGAAACATGCATGCGCATTATATATGAACAATTATCTCGTTCATTCGGTTTCAAATGTGTTGATTTTTGCTGCTGTAAGTCGATGCATTATTACAAGATGTGTCACACTACGTACACGTCCCATCAGGGGGAAGGTAAGAAGGTCCTTCTACGAGTCACAGCCTCCAAACATCTCCTCCACGCAGTCACATTCCAACCCCCTCAGTTACCTCCAACCATCCCATCACAAAACAAACAGAATCCCTTAAGAGAACAAACCTGTCATTCCTAAAAAGAAATCAGCTGCTGCCTCAATCACCCCCCCCCCCCTACACCCCCTTGCTACTAGAAGTCTGAATAAGGTCATCCTGATAAGCCCACACTCTCGCCGGAGCTCCTGTGCTGTGTTTCACTCAGGTCCGACCCCCCGACTCCCACCTCCACGCCTTCCACACACGGGAGCAATCTCCCTCTAACAGGCACTGAATATGCAGATTGGTTAATTCAGCCGCAGTTGCTCCCCCTCCGTAAATGCTGCATCTGCAAGCACTTTCCAAAGACTGAGCAGCAAATAAACGCTTACGTTGGGGCTTCTTTTTGGTGGTGGTTGGGGTTGGGCGGGGGGGGGTTGGGGGGTGTCTCTGTCCACGATAGACAGGCAAGGAGGAGATTTTAGAAGTGGGATGGGGAGAGCAAAACTAATAAGAGATTAAGACGTTGTCCATGGCAAAGCTCAAGGGCCAGTTGGTGATTGATCTTGATTTGTTATGGAGTAATTCATTTAATTATAGAGCTTTTCATCTTGGCTTGCTTGCATCTGCTTCTGCTGATAACCTTTTATTTTGCCTGCAACTCACCTGTATAGTGTCTGCAGCGATAATCCTTTAACTACAGCTGAGACGGCAGGAAAAATACTGCATTAAAAAATCCTCAAATCAAGGCACATGAAACAGAAACAAGCATTTAGCAATTTTTCATTGCACCAAAGACACTACAGTAGGTTCTGTGTATATAATCATTTTTTCTTCTCATTGTCTTAATGAAATAAAATGTAACGGTGACAGTTTACTATTTATAATAATTCATTTCTGTCTTTTATCGAACAACGGGATAATATTATTCGTTCTGAAGATAATACGATTCTGTACTACAACAGATGAACTGTTGTGCTTCTCTGAAGCATCAAAAAATGCTGAAAACGCTGCTGCTTTCAAATGAAACGAGGTGTCACTGATGGACAAAGAAAAATAACTCCCGCTTTACACAAAGGCGCATAAAAGACTGTAGTTTCCCCCCCTCCTCTCCATCTCTGTGGTGCTTTCTGCCAACGTAGCACTAAAATCTGATTCAAGCTTTCTGTGAACAAGTGCAATGCTTGCCAACACAAATGACAGTGGGAGTGGGCACCACGCCAAAGTCCTCCCCTGACTACCAAGAGAGAAAAGCAATCAAAAGAAACAATCGATATAAACATAGTCTTAAACACTATTGATTATTTTGCTCTACGCTGATGTGCAATGATAGTTGTGGACCCAGTTTCATACACTCAGTTGATTAATAGCTTCAGTTTTCTGTTGAAACAGCCCATCAGGCATGATTTCTTTGTCTGAGAATGACCGCAGATCACCCGATGGCTCAGAGGCACCGTCGTGTCTGTGGTGACATTTTAGTAGGATGCAACGGAAACTGCTCCTCAGCTCAGCATCCTGCGGTCTCATCACTCACTGTATGGCGCGCCGTTACTTCCATCAGCTGCATTTGAGTTCGAGCAAAGTCAGCAAATTTTTTCCCCCGCTGCATGCGCAGCCCGCACAGAAAGAAATATACGGTGGAAAAGCCAGGAGCCCTTAGCTGTGCATGCCCGCTCCGGTGAGATAGTGGCCTCTTGAGCGGTGTGTGACGTGTCCTCCGAGTGGCATGCCATTAAGACAAATGTCACCGTTGTGGTAAGTCGCTCTGTGACGTACAGAGCGACAGAGGAGATGAGAATCCAGTGACCCTATGCACTGTCTATTAACATTCAGATAGAGGATTAGGATTGCTGTGTGTGTGGCCACTAATCTACTACAGCTTAAAAAGTATCCACTGTCCCATTGCACTGGGTGGGAACTGATTGCTGGTTTGGACATATTATTTATATTATTTTATTCAATCAGACATTTCTTTAAAGAAACAATGTATTTTTATGCCTTTCTAGCTGCACGGCTTTAGTTATCTCAGCTCAGGCCGTAATATAAAGACAGCAACAAAAAGATTTAACAGATGTCATAGAGCTAAATTAGTTAACGAGTTTTTTAAAAGCCCACGTTGACATTGCTGACCATTACATGTCAAATGACTCGAGCAGCTAAGACATTCTGTGACATCCTGAATTCACCGTCGGCTCATAGCTAAGCTGCTAACACGATACAAGCCTGCAGGCTGAGGCTCTCCAGCAGTGTGCTCTGCCCGGACACAACAAAGCACATGTGTGTTTATAAAAATTGCGTGTGCGCTGATCCAAGCACGTCAGATCTCTGAAACTTGAAAGACTGATTTGTGAATTAACATCTCTTTTGTTTCATTAACACTCGGCGAAGGACGCGTCATGATCATTTAGTGTGAATATAAAGACAACAAAGAGGTTCACCTCCAGCAGTTTTGGAACATCTTGATCCACTGAGGGATGGAGGCACCTGTTTTCTAAATGTGGATATGGATGAAAGGTGTGTATGTGTATGCACTTGCAGGGGTGTGTGTGTGTGTGTCTATGAATAAAATAGCAACCTTGAGGCTCAAACCAAATGTGTTTTTGGAAAACAATATCGCAAAACTTAAAAAAAAAAAGCTGTCAATATAATACAATTGACATTAAGCTTTAATACTAAAACAAATTAGAAATAAAAGAGATAAAATAGACCTAAACCTTGATTTAAATGTGGACACACTTTTTCCCACGCTAAAGGAATGGTTGGACATTTTGCAAAACGTTTTATGAGAAGGTTGACAGCCATCTTGTGTTTGTGCGGTCAGTTGTGAGCTTTAAACACTCATTGTCAGTGCACAAACACTGACAATACAGAATTTTTGTTACTTTGTTCTGTTTAAAATGATCTAAATCTGCCTTCCAGCACCTCTAAGATCTAAATGAACATGTTATACTTAAGTCATTGGCTGTAGCTTGCTATTTAGAGGAGGTTTTCCTTTGTTTGAGTTAAGGGAATGTATTCATATGACAAAGTTCCTACAACCCAAATGTCGATCATACCTGTGAATAGTGGTGCAACAGAAACATTTCAGGACAGCTTCAAACAGCAGGACGCGAAGCCTTAAACACCATCATCGCAAAGCTGCAAACACAAATCTGTTGTAGTTTTTTCTTTTCCTGTTGCTTAGATGGTGACACATTTCACTCATCAAAGCAAGCTCTGTGACCGCAGCCCACGACAATGCAAGAGCTCATTAGGACTCAATGAATGTTCTGCAATTTGCAACAGACCTGTGAAATGTGTGTAGTTTATCTCCTTGGGTTCGTGTTTTTATTCAAGACAAATAGATTCTTTGTTTATTTGTGGGTGTTAAATTTAAAAGTAAGGTTGAATTTATTTAAACAATGCATTTTCTGTGGTTTCCTTCAGTTGCTATATTATACACTGAAAAAAAGGATGGTGACTCATTTGTTCTGTATACTTTGGTCACACGTTACAGCGTTTGTGGTTGTGTGATTCAGCTTTTTAAAGGGTCAGTTCACTTACATTGGAGTCAAGCAGATCAATGCTGTCCAGGCTCTTGCTCCTGTGAATGCGGCCCTTGATGCGGCGGAGTGACGGTTTGCCCTGAATGGTGCTCACTGAGGAGGCTGCTGTGATGGAGCCAGCGGTCGGGCTGGGGTGTATCCTGAGGTCAGCAAAGGTGAAGCGGGAGGGAGAAGGACAAAGAAAAACAACGACACCACATCAGGGCAAGTGAGTACAAATCCAGCATGGCTGTATCGCAGTAGGACAAAGTGGAAGAAGAGGAAGAGGAGGAGGAGTAGGAGGAACACAGTGGTCCGCTCACAAAAGGCCCAGCACGCCCGCTGGATAAAATGGCATTAAAGAAATCTATAATTGGATTTAATGTCACAGAGGCCCTGTAGGGGAGCCTGTGCAGCTCTGTGGGCCACACGAGCCGGTCTGCAGATGGGTCACGGTGAGATGTGAGGAGGCAAACTTGGCTGAGCCACCAACGCTCTCGGGGAAGGTTTTGCACTCCTCAAATGACATAGTTAAGCAGCCCTGCTGGAACCCTGTTGACCAAATTAAAACCCTCTTATTTCCTTTGTGTTTCTCACGTTTGTTGATTAAATGAAGTGTCCCTGCCGCCATAAATAAAGCTAAAATGACCTAAGGATTTCTGTTTATCAAACTGGCTACAGGGTTTTCTTTTTAAAACCAGCCACATCGGTCTCCCAACATGAGGCATATTATTAATGCACCCTTCAGTTATAAGTTGTAAGGCTGTAAATAACTACTTTAGAAATGGTTTAGAATGGTTCATGACTGCTGGTGTTTTTGTTTTTTTATCTTCCAACAATGCAGCTATTGTTCGTATTCAGTAATTTCCCACTTTTTAAAGCCCCGGAGTCAAGTCTACAAAGTTATTACAAATGTTGACAAGTTGGTGATTACTTGATTTTGATCCAAATATTTGTCGTTTTTCCAAGGAGCTAAGTGGTCCGTTTGTTGATTTATTGTAGACTATTAAATAATGTATACTACGTGTCCCGGTTGAGGACGAGACACATGGGGGGAAACCCAAAAATGATTCTACAATTATAAAACATGTATTTCAGGTGGTAGTAACCACTTATAAAGACAACTATATAACTTATATGAGCACTTAGTAAAGCTGAAACTGAAAGAGAATGAAATATTTAATATATATATATTAAATATTTAATATAAATATTTAATATATATATATTAAATATTTAGATTATTAGTTATAAAGCAAAGATCTATTTAATTCACCTTTCGACTTAACGTTAAGGATAACCTGCTTTACTGACTCCTTGTCTTTTCTTCTCTTCGGGCCTTTCTCTCAGTGTCACGGAGAACATCGCCTCTCAATGAGGATTTACCCAACACAATATTCAATGAGGAGAAATCCTGTCTGCACAGTGCGACTCAGGGACAGTAGATATCCATTAGCGGTCTCGGCAACAGGCCCAGGGGAGCTGCCGAAGTTCAGAGACTCAGCAAAGGGAAATTAGAAGAGAAGGAAATGAACAAAGATGGGAGGAAAGAGAACATCTCCTTCCATTTTTCTCTCTGCAGCCAAGTCAATGGTTGCTCAAAGCAATTTAACATGCTTTTCTGTCTGAAAATGCAAGGTAAAAGTCATTCTGCAATACAAGCCACCTTAGATTGTTCTCATAAACAATACAGCAAACAGGAATAAGGAGGAAAACAGCTTGGACTGTAGCACGGGCTCGGTGCAGTGCTGCGCATCCACAGGCTCATTTCGCGGATGTTGATTTTCAAATGGATTTCTGCCAAAAGACTTCAGGCCACAAAGGCAGAAATGTAACATGGTGCAAGCAACTGTGCCGACTCAGATATAAAGTGGAGTGAATGATTTCACGTTGCTTTTTGGATGAATTGGTCCTCTCTATCAAATATTCGGGTATAATGTGCTTCTCTTGGGGTTTGAGAGAATAAATGTTAACAATTTCGTTTCGCTCTATCAAATTAATAGGTACATTTAAAAAATGCACTTGGATGAACACGGTTTCGCGTATGACCCCAAGACGATGATCAGATTTAAGGAAAGTCAAAAGTGAATTTACCTTTATACTTTGTATGACAGAATTGAAATAAGACACAGTGTGACATTTGGGGTAAAGCAAACGTTGAAAGGTGTGAAGATGGGTACTAGTTTCATGCCCATTTACTCATATTCAGCATATGGACATATGGGCAGCCTCTTAATGGCTCTCACGATGGCGATGCATGAAAACGCGGCTTGTAGCTAACAGTGCTAACAGTGCTAACCCCAGCAGCTGTAATTGCGAGCTGCGGTGGACGCGCTCACATGCACGAACGTGCACACGCAATGACGGGCCGGCTTTAAAACCAATCGTAAGGACAAGACCTCGTTCCCTGCGCAGGTAGATCCACAACAACATATCTTTACTTGGATAATGGTTGTTTGTTGCTTTATTAATTATTAATATTAACAAACCAGGTATAATGTGTCAATTACTGACCTTTAACAGACAAAATGTAAGAAAGCAGAAGTTTCCCAAATGTCGATCCACTTGTGGTTATGGATTGTTTATAAGTGAATTGCAAAGGAAATATTATATCAAATAGCCAGTGTGTGAGAAACATGAGACTGAGAATATATTATTGTGGTCAGTAGTTTTGCTCCACAGAAGCCTTGATCCTTTATCTGCTGTTTTGTCTTCGCAAACAGGGCAGGTTCTTCTTGTCAGGAGTTCACAACGCAATAACAATGTCTGCTCGACCGTGACGTGACAACAATATTGGAATATTGGAGTTTTTGCAGCCGCTGTGACAAAGAAAAATCCACTTCAAAAGAAAATGGAATAAGATCAATGCAAAGACCACTGATGACCACCACAAAGTGGGATAATCGTTCACAGATAAGGGAAGATCAAGCAAACGCCTGATGCTTATAAAAGGAAAGGATGCGAGACACACGCATGAATCAGTCGCAGGACATTATGCCGTTCCTCTGTTCCCCGTCGGCCTGGAGGAGCCATCAAGTGCTATTAGATCGAGCAATAACGGCTACTGCTTAATCAGCAGGTCAATAGGCAATGTTACGCTTCATTCCTCCCATCTTGCCCTCTGCTAATATAGCACTTAGCAAGGATAGCAGTCCTGACCAGAGTCACAATGAAACAAATCAAGTAAAACGCACTGTAAAATGAAGACACAATTTAATTCAAAATTAGTGCAAGCCTTGAATGAGTAATCTCTACACTGTGACCCCACCATCTGTCTGCTTTTGTTTTCTTTTTTGAAAAAATGTGCAGGTTAAAAATAAGAGAAAACATTACATAAAGACAACAGACGTATTGTATTAGCCCTGCAGGCTTGCAACAGAGTGTAAAGTTCATTAAACCAGGTTAATGCTAATCTAAGCTGTGTGCAGAGGAGAATGGGTTTTTAAGACTGCAGGCAAGAGCAACATCTGTTTGCAAAGATTATTTCTAATTTACAGAGCTGTTACTGCTATTCAGTCCTTAAGCGGAGCTGGGCCTCCTCTAATTTTAGGACAATGTGATGCGCATGCGACCGGTGGATGGTACAAGTGTCGGGGCAAAGCGGAGTGTGTGTGAATCAAATATATAGAGGGCATTCCACAAACCTTGATAGGAGAGTCGATGATGACAGAAAAGTATCTCCATTTATTGAGAAAACTTGATGTTTATAATTATTTCTTTTCTTACTTAAGTGTTTTTCTAGAAAGCTAAAAAAAAATAAGAATAAGTGGGGATTATTACAAGTGCTCAAAGACATAAACTTGAACAAATTTTACAATAACATTGAGGATGAAACGAGCAGATTCTCTCATTTTGGAGCAAATGACTTGATAGAAATTCTCCCAACATCATAAATTCCATGAATTATCTTCAAATTTGAAGTATAGAAACAATGTGTAAATGCATATGGAATAATGTTGATCAAAAAGATCACATTCATCAAGTTATCAATGTAGCATATCTCTCTAAAATCCGTGCAGAGTGAAGATTGCAAATATTAAGAACCATACAAACCAGAGGCTCATTTACCGTTATAAAATGTTGTGACTTGATGTTGATTCATTGTCAGATTAGAACAAAGGAACTTGAAATGTACTTGTTGGCCTTGTGTTTCTGATTCATCGGGTGTTATTAGGGTTTCAGTCGGGTAGAGAGACACGGCGTGTTTCACAAAGTGTGCACGGAAATGTCCAAAAAAACAAAGCCTATGGAATGAGGACACACAGCATTGCATTAGAGCATATCTGTTATGTTCTGTCAAACGTCCTTGCACACTATTCAGCTGAGAAGGACGAGAAAGACGTGGAATATCGATGACTCCGATTTATTCACATTCTGAAGGAGGTGCTCGGCAGCCTGAGCTGCAGGAAAGGTGGTGTAGTGCTTTGACCACCAACAGCACGACTGAAACTACAACTATGACTTTTACTACAGCTATGACTTTACCGACGGTATTACTGACAATCATAAAGCGGTGGATGACAACGAGGATAAACATAATACGATATAACCAGATTCTGCATTTTACACATTTTTCTGCTATGTTACATATCAGGTCAATATGATATAAAACAAACTGCAGGTTCTGGTGTTTCCTCTCGCCGACCAGCTTTTATGATGTGTGCCAATACTGATATTGAGCAATATTATTAGGAGATCTTCTGTTTGTACCAAAATGTATAGCATGCTCCAAAAAGTATCATACCAGTTTTTAAATTAGCATATATTATTTTTTAAATTATAACAAAGACTTTTGCAGATCCTGCAAATCACAACAGTGTCTGTCTGTTGGATGTTAAAGAATTAGTGCACTGCGACAAATAAGAATTAGCAGCCAGTTAATCTGTAAACATTACTATTATTAAAAAGTCTGTGTACTTTACTGTCAATGATCAGTTGTCGTTTGCAGGTAAAATAATTTTAAAGTATTTCTACGGCGTGGGAATTAATATTACAGGTTTGAAAGGTGTGAAAGCGTGATTAGCAAAATGTGTTTGTTGTGCGATTCTAAAGCAAAATGGAGTAAAACATTCAAGATCCTGGTATTCCTCCTTTAAGTGAGATATGGTATTAAGTTTAAACACAAACATACCCTTTATATGTCAGTCAGTGTTTTTCACTGGATTATTGGAGGTGGATGTAGAACTCAGCATTTTCCCTCCATATCAAATCAACTAGCTGCTGCTTTTCAATCTGGCTGCATAAAGAAATCACTTGAACAAGGTCAGAGCTTACTCCGAGCGTTACATAAGGTTCACCTTTTATAAGTGCACGGCTGTGGATGAGACAAGAAGAGCGCTCTCTGCGATCTATTTGGATATGCAAATGTAGGCATGGAACAACTACAACAAAAGAAACATGAAACGAATCCTCTGCTTCAATGAAATCTCTTATCTTCTCCAATTAGGCCAATAAGAGGACGGGTGAGCTGTTTGATTAGCCAAAGAGTCCAAGAGATGAACAAAGCTGCATGTGATAAGCGTCTAACCCCTGGTGAGGTTACAGCAGCACCATCGCGCCTCTTAGACGCCATAACAGATGATGTTATTGTACAAGTGAAAAGCCGTATTACAACATTAATAACGACACGCTGTAAAAAGATTTCCACTTCTGGGTTTTTTGTCCTTTATGAGACGAAGATGTGATATTAAGAGATGAGCTTCTCACACATTGAAGCCACACTGATGTGCTTTATGGGGTTAAATGGTCTCCACCTTTTGAGCTTGTGTGAGACATTTGGCAATCAGAGGGACATTGAGCCCATTGACTCCTAATTAACCGCCTCTGCTTTCAAACACGATGGTAATCCGGCTGTAATTAGGGATACTATGTCACACACACACACACACACACACACACACAGCAGCCTCGGCTGTGAACTGCTTACGACAAGGAAAGGAATGAAGGTCTGTCTTAGGGTAAACAAATGAAGGAGGCCGGCGACGGAGAAAAGGAGAGACAATGAGAGGTGGACACTGCCATATATTGTATTAGCACACAGACACACCGAGGAATGAGGACACGCAGGACGAGGTGGACACAAGACACAAACACACAAGCTGAGAGCAGAGTATGGGGTGGAAAATGTTTAATAAACATGGCAATGAGAGGTGCATGAAATACAAACAGCTGGGGGGCGGGTTTCATGCTTTGTATTTTATTCATTAATCACAACACAGCAGTGGGCTTAAGAGGGGGGGGGGCTCTGAGGATGGAGGGTGGTGTTTGACCACCATGGTCAGTTTGATGGTGACATTCCGGGGACACAATACTACGTCGAGGCAGGAACGGCGATGAGGCTATGACGTCATCCCTACGCATTCAACTTTACAAACTGGTTGGAGAGGAAGGACTTAGCCCGAGCTACTGGACTGGGTGTCACGAACGCGCACAGGCGCGCGCCTCCCGGTTACCTTGCCCACAGTGAATGGAGCACGGGGGGGTGGGGAGGGGGGGTCGCGGTGCTCGGAACATGGTGCAGACTGGCCGTTTTTAGAGAGTGAGCGGGCGCACCGGGGCTCATCGCAGCCCCCCCCCCCCCCCTCCGCCTTTTTTTTCTCCCAACCTGCATCATCATCACCATCGTTATCATCATCATCATCATCATCGTCACCGTCCGCAGCCAGATTCATACTCACCACATACGCTTCCTGGGTGGGAGACAGTGTTCTTTGTTGGAGGCGGTCACCCCCAGAGCCAGCTGCATAACAGTAATGTATTTCTGGTAATTCACCATGGTACTGTCCACCGCTACTAAAAATCCAACCCAAAGAAAAGCACAGGTGATCATATATTTCTTTATTCCCTGGCATCCGCCTCCGCTGCGTCTTCCGCGCTCAGCATCACAGCGCCATTCCCGGCGCCGAAGGACCGACCGTGGAAACAGTCCCCGAGGAGCTGAGCGCGAGGACCCATGTCTGCAATGACACTCTGCTCTAGCGCCGATCCATCCGCTTTACAGACGGCGCTCTCTCTCTCTCTCTCTCCTCTCTCTCTCTCTCTCTCTCTCTCTCTCTCTCTCTCTCTCTCTCTCTCTCTCTCTCTCTCTCTCTCTCTCTCTCTCTCTCTCTCTCTCTTTCTTTCTTTCTTTCTTTTGTTTCGCTTCTTTTTTTCTCCCTTTTTTGTTTGTTTGTTATTGCGGTCCGGATTCGGACACTGTCGCCTTCCTGCTGCCTTCCTGCCTTCCTGCCTTCCTGCCTCCTGCCTCCTGCCTCCTGCCTCCTCTCCGGGGCTGGAAACACTCTCTGTGCAAAAAACGCTGCAGCGTCCAGGCGTCCGTGTGTGTGTGCGTGTGTGTGTGTGTGTGTGTGTGTGTGTGGTAGGGGTGAGAGAGAGAGAGAGAGAGAGAGAGTCAGTGTGTGTGTGTGTGTGTGTAGTCTAGAGGGGAGCGACCGGGAGGGGGGAGGAGGGGGGAGGAGAGAGGGGAGGGACCGACTCGGTCGTAGCATCTGTTTAGGACGTCCACAGTTTGTCTTTAGTTACTTGTTAACTAGCAGTTCTTTTAGAAAGCAGGGTTTTTTTGTTTTCCACAGGGGTTTCTGGGACCAAAAGAGAAAAAATTTTTTGACCCCCCTTTCTTCTTTTTTTTGGGGGGGGGGGGGGGGTGTTGTGTTTTTCTCCTTTTCATATCTCACAGGAGAAAAAGCACAAGTGCAAATAACCAAATGAAACGCCGTTGAATTCCATTTAGCTGCTTCAGTTTGAGGCAGAAATTTGAACCGGATTTTCAGAAAATCCGCTGAATAAAATGAAAAGTAACAAAAGGCATTTCCATTTAGTGCATGTTGGTTCTGTGAGAGAAACAGTAGGTGGCGTTAATTCTCAAGGCAGGTGCCTTTAAACCCTGGTGGAAAGAACAAGAGCCACAAGGTGACAGGATTAAAAAGAGCGCCAGTTAAACCTAGAAGTAATGAAAATAGTGTATTTTACATAATGTTGAGATTTTTATTTTTGCAGGTTATTGTCTTCTCACCGCTCCCCATACATCTAACGTTTGTTGTGTAGCATGATTGACGTTATTTGAGTGGACATTTCGTTTGCATGCTTTAATGCATTTGGAGTAATTTGCAAGATCTGTTTTAAATGAACCTTTTAGAATATTGCTTTTGTAAATACACCAACTCTTCCACATTGAAATGTAAAATTGTAATCTGTGTTATGTTAAGTTTATTCCATATTGTGCGTATTTTAAATTAGATTTTTGGAGCGCAAATTGAAAATACACCTTGTAAATGTTGGATATAAATGAATCTAATTCATTTATGTCTTATGTTAAAATGTCTGCACATATGAGACTGACTGTGAATCACTGATTTTTTTCATGAGCTTTCAGCTGTATTGCGTGACCTTCATCAAAACATTTCCAATAAATGAACATTATGCAAAGATTTTTTTGTCAATCTTATCCAAGGTCATAGCATCCATAATGAACCTTCCAGCTAAAATAGAGTCGATCCTCTCTGTCTAACCTAGAAAAATATGCACGTAAAGTGAAAATATGTGAGTGCACTTTGAGCATGATTACTATTTTTCTCAAAGGTCTGACTCAATTAGGTCTCTGACAGACGCACACGGCAACAAGATATCTGTGTGTATAAATATGTATAAATGTTCCTCTTGCCTTATTCGCGAATGACGTAAAAGGACAGATTGCCACATGAAACAGTTCAGGGTTAATTTAACTTATGTGAAGCAATGATACGGCCGGAGATGGTTTTATTTCTGCATCAAAGTATTACACTGTCATTTAGACACACAGACACCCATTAACAATCAACAGTTACCTATTTGCTTGACCTGCATGAGTTTTTGTCTCATTTCTCACATAAAATATACTATTTGGTCTGAGCAGCACACATTTTATTTGTTATAATTTCATGTCTCCTTTCTAAACCACTTGCGTTTTCAACCTCTCCCAACTGCTAGAATACATTTTTGTAACTTCCCCAGTTGCACAACAATTCTCACTTACTTCTTTTCGTCAAGTGAATTTTCTTGCACTGTCTTAAAAAAGCTTGAGCTACGTTGGAAACTCTTGATGTTTTAGGCCTAAATATAAATTAAGAGTTGTCTTATTGGTAATGCTGAATCTATTTGTCTCTCTTATTAGGAAGAACAAATAGTATTATTAGTAACGTGGGGTATTTTGATGGTGGAAAATAAGCCTCTACGCTCCATTGCAGATGCACCAGTAAGTTGGTGTTTGAAGACTCATCGAGGTGCAGAACGCGGCAGCTCTGCCTCAGTGGATTGTGCCCACGCCGCCTCTCATTAGCAGCAGACAGAAGCTGGCGTGGGATGTTTTTCGCTCGATAGACTGACACGCTGGTGCCGTTCTAAGCCTCAGAAGAAGTCGATTAGTCTGGACTTTGAATACTTAGAGGAGCGGAAAAGTGCTCACCTGAGTAGAGCGGCGCACCGCTCACGCTCACTCGACCAGACGGGCTCAACAAAGATGCCGACAGCACGAGAGGTTCAAGGAGGTCAGGTAAATATAAACAGAGAATCTTGTATTTATCTGCCGGGAGGAATACAATAAAATATGCTGGAAAAAAACTGGGGCAACTGTGGGCCCCCCCGAATATTTCTAATATACAGCTAAATAGACAGCTATTGTGCAGTCACACCATCACCCTACACTCTATTATGTGCAGGGTGATGGTGTGACTGCATGTTTAAATTAAATCGATATTAAAACAACTATTAAATATTTAAATCTGCTTAGGTATTTTATCAAGCAGCAAAGACAAATGTAATGTGCAGAGAATGAACATCAGGCCATTTCTGTTATTTAAAGCAGCTCTTTTGTGGATGCCAGATAGTTACTTCTGGCTGACTGGAAGCAGAAAAGCCCTTCAGGGCATTGAGGGAACCTAAATTCATCTCGTGCTCCTGTGTCAAAAAAGGCTGCTGTTTTTTGTCTCAGCGTTGCATCGACATAGAATAATGAAATTCTAGATTGGAAACTATGCTAATCCCAGCTAGAATCCACGACGTCTCTACTACCCAGCCGTGACCTGCCAAATGTCCAGTCTGAGCAAAACAAAAAGAAGTAGGACTTCCGGCTCATGTGCTACATGTATCCGTATTTAAAAAAATCTTCTAAAATCTAAAATAACACATACAATAAAAGTCATTGTTAGATTTGGATCCCAATAAGAATCGTTTGGAAGCCTTTGAACTTAATTTGATACGATAGCAAAGAATAATCCATAAGATATTAGTAGCCTTTTTGTATCCAACACTCAACTACTACAGCGCTAATAGAATCAGAGCAGAACCACCAGCAGCGGTTGACAAGGACGCCATTCAGATGACTCTCCTGGTCGATCAGACGCTACGGCTCGTAATGATCAAGTATGAAAGACGCAGCTTTCATTAGCGGAAGGAGAAACTGTGAAGACACACACACACACACACACACACACAATGCATGTACACCAGCCTGTTTCACAGACACGCACACAGTAAAGGGAGCGAGTACGGGAACCAGCAGTGGTGTGTCAGTGGGGAAACGTTGAGACAGCAGTGGGTCGGTGGACGTGCTGCAGTCTGAAGCCCGCTGCATGCAGCACTTTGATTTCACATTGGCAACCCCCCCCCCCCCCCCAAGCCCCCCTCACCCACCACACGCCCCCCCCCCCCCCCCACCCTGCATCTGGACGGTAATGGCTCGGAGCAGCCTGCCCCCATCATTACCCTTCTCACATGAGAACCCACTGCTGACATCTCACATCGTACGCCGCACACAACCGCAGCAGCACGTTCGCTCCATCGATCCATTACTGTCACACGTGTGCGCTAATAACACACCGAGGCACTTTTTTTCCTCCAAGCAACTAAATAGGACGGACAGGGTTGCCCTGGTTACTCGTGTCCTCAGACTCTCTTCTGGTCTTTATTCTGTGCAGCAAAATCAAAGCTGGTTTGTGGGACCCAGATGCTGCTCCCCCAGGAGGCAAACCTGGACGAAAGCCCCAACAGCCGCTGCCATGATTTATTACTTTTGCACCGAACAGAGAAGGAGAAGTTCACAGAGAAAGTCATCTTCACACGAATGCACTGCACCAAGAAGAACAAGAGTAATGAAACACACGCGCTCACGCGCACACAGTCACACCTCGGTGCTGTCGCAGTGCTTCCCTCTCCATGTGCCGCGAGGTGAGTCATCAGCACAGAGAAGCACAACCTCACAGCTCCGGCTAATCTCTCCTCTCCTCCTCCTCCTCCACCTCCTCCTCCTCTCCTCCTCCACCACGACCTGCCAGCATCTCATTTTCTCCACTTATGGACGAAGGCACGGTGACTTACATCATCTCTGCAGCCTCACACATACATATAAGGCCTCAGATCCAAACACATGGCCGGCACATCCTGGTGAATCACGCTCAGAACCTCTGTAGGGATGTAGCTTGCAGCTATGAAACTAAAAAATAGAGCGTTTAATGCACGTAAATCAGCTCTTTATATTTTATATATTTTAGTTTAAAGAACACCACAACAGTCCCGTGAAAACGGCACGGCTGTAAAGAGATTCAGCCTCGCCTCGGTTCTCCAGCTGCTCTTCTGGTGGTACACGGCTCCTTTGTGCCCTTTTAAGACGGAAGCCCAGAGATGTGATTAAATGCCGCATGTTCGCTCTCAGTCAGCCGGAGTCTGACCAGAGGGGGGGGGACACGAAAAGCCAAAGTAATAAACACAACGTCTCTTTGAACCCCCTCAGCTGACAATCAATCTGCTCTTCTGCTGCGGATCAGGAGAGTGTGGAAAGCAAACACCTGCATGCAGCTTCGCGTGGAGAAACAGTTCGCCACGAGTAACATATTCCCAGGTCGTTTCCACATTTGTAACAAGCATGGCGGAGGACACGCTTCACCCTGTCTCACGGGGACACATGCTGGAAGACACGTTTCTGAAGCTGAGCATTAATGACTCGAGGCTGTTTCTGTCCTGCTTCTCCTGAGAGTGAATGAACAAAAGATGACGCTGTTTTTATCTTCGCACACAGGC